GGGTAAACTGTAATATATACACAAGGAAACATAGTATCCAAATGTATTATTAGGCTTATGTAAAACATCGAGAAGTTTGTGTTTCCCAGGCTAAAGCTCGCCAAGGAACGAAAGATTTTTAACCTGATATAACAAAGATTTTACTAATGATAATGATCTTATCTTTTATACATTTCATCACGATTTATATTCAAAATTTCATGCATCTATCTTAAAAGCGTCCAGTGTTTGATTCATTTGTATCTAGTGACATGGCTGATTTTGCACTGATGTCAGAGTCTCAGTTGGCACCCACTTCTTTGATCATTCACATTGATTACAACAAGAAAGATTTTCCATTCTGTTGGGGAATCGGTTTGTTCAGCACCTGGCCATTTATTAGTCATTCTGCAAAAGTTTCCCCTATGGCTTCCTTAAAATTTAACCCCACCTTTTTCCATTGATATATTTTTTTCAACCTTGTTCTGTTAACTTTATACATACCCTAAAGTGACACTAAACTCAGGAGTTAAATCTCAAAAATACATTCCAGTACCTTAACTTTTAACAAAAATGTATCTTATTTGTGTATCACTCGGCTGTAGATCCTCAATCATCTCTGAATTGGTGCTGACACTGTCCTTCCTTCTGGAGGTTGGCTACTTTTGGTCTCCATGGTCCCTGTTTGTGTTGTAAAGTAGCCATCGTTCCAAGCTCACTCCTGTGATGGACTACAATCTCGCGTTTAGTTTGCTCAAAGTAGCTATCCTCCATAAGGAAGGGTGTCGGCACAAGTTCAGAAATTATTTAAACATATACAACCGAGTGACAAATAATCTACATTTGTTAGTAGTTAGGGTACTTAAATGCATTTTTTAAATTTAACTCCAGAATTTAGTGTTACTTTAATTCTCGCTATCTTCTGTCCTTCCAGTGTCCGTTGTGTGCTGTCCTTACTGATGCCCAAAATGGCAATGACTGTGACGTGTGAGCGCAGTTCTGTGTGGGGGTCCCCATGGTGGCATAAATTCACAAGAAGTGGGTTTAAAGAGGAACTATACTCATATCTTCAAAACAACAACAAAGCCACCTTTAGAAGTGTTTAGCAATGAGAGTCTACAAACACTTACTTCTAGATCAGGCCTCAAAATTTCCACTCGCCCCCTCGCAATTGGCGAGTGAAAATTGCGGGGGGGGGGGGGGGGGGCGAGTGGAATGTCAGCAATGGTGCTTCGCCGGCGGGACTAGAGATGGAACACTATCGCCGCGGCAATCGCTCGCTTCTGTTTTCTCTTATTTCTCGCCTGCTGCAGCTACAGAGCGGCCGAGCCCGAGAAGGAGAAGAGAGAACAGAAGCGAGCAAGCGATTGCCGCGGCGGTAGTGTTCCATCCAGAGCCGTAGCTAGCTCTCTGCGCTCACTCTCTTTCGTCCCGGCCGCTTCAGCTCCACTCAGAGAGGCGGCTCTGATTACACCCGTTATCGCTCCCTCTCTCCTTCTGGCCGCTCTGAAGCTGCAGCGGCCGGGAGCAGAGAGAGGGAACGCTGATAGCTGCCTCTGAGTGCCCGCTTCCTGGAGCTGGAGCGGTCGGGAGAAGAGGTGATCGTTCAGCGGTGTGATTCTGAGCAGCCTTAAAGAGCCCCCCCTCCCAGTCCACATCTTTTGGACGTTATTAATCTGAGTTGCCCCACTCAGTATGCCCCTCGCTTGTGGCCATATTGAGTGGGGCACTCATATTAATAACGTGCTGGATTAGTCTGACCCAGGGGCGGACTAGGCCCGGGGTCAGGGTGGCAATTGCCCCCCAGGCCTCTCTGATACCTTTGCAAACGCCCCCCGCCACGGCAAGGACTTCATCTCTCCCCTCTTGGCCGCTGCAGCAGCAGAGCGACCGAGAGGGGAGAGATTAAATGCTTATGGCGGCGGTGGGGGGCGTTTGCAAAGGTATCAGAGAGGCTTGGGGGGCAATTGCCACCCTGCCCCCAGTCCGCCCTTGGGTCAGACTAATCCAGCACATTATTAATCTTAGTGCCCCACTCAATATGACCGCAAGAGAGGGGCATACTGAGTGGGGCAACTCAGATTAATAACGTCCGAAAGATGTGGACTGGGAGGGGGGCCTCTTTAAGACTGCGGTGGCGGGGAGAAGAGAACAAGAAGCTCCACTGCCATCGTCTGTGCCCTATTCGATTGGGCTCCTCGGTGGCCACAGCAGTTTACTCCGCCCACCTCAGCTGCCGTTGGTGGTAGAGGAAGACTGCTGGCTTCTGCTGCGCGAGAGAGAGAGCACCTGGAGCCGGCTGGACGTGCAGGCAACCCTGTTCTAGATAATAGCCGGCTTTTTATTCTTTGCATACCTTATTTTTCTTTTCCTTCTCAGTCTTCTCACAGTGGCCATTTTTACTAAGGACAGATTAATCCATCTTCCTTTACTTCCTGGAACTTTGGCACATGTGACTAGGACATGTGACTATGCACATCATCTCAGGGGAGGAAAATGCCTTTTCCTGAGCTCTCATCAATGAGATTCCCCATCTCTCAGATGAGATTTCCCATCAATGCTCTGCTGATGTATCCTTCCCAGGATGCAACTTTTTGGCACAGTTTACATCACTTGTGCCCAAGAGGACCAGCAAGTGGAAAAACAATAATTGTAAGTAAAAGAAAAATATGTTTAACTCATGAATGTAAGATGATTTCATATCGGCATGCAGAGGTGCATGTTGATGTTATTTTTAGTCAGAGGGTAGAGTTCCACTTTAATGATGCTAGCCTGCATTCAACCTGGAAGAGCAGCCCTGGACCACGGAGAGGTAACTCTGCAAAGAGGTGAGTATTCTTATGAAAGCTATTTTTTATCATGCTGGGCATGGTACTTAATTCTAAAACAAATCTTTGTTAGTCTTTAAAGTAAACTTTTCCTGAGAGTAGCATGGGGGCTTTCATTGCTAGCCTTCTGAAAATACTGGTTCCCTGTCTATTACGCTGGTTTCAGTCATTGACCCTGATCAAATATGCAAATTGGTCAGAAGTCCTGATTTGCATACCTGGTCTGGGTTAGTTGCAGTATTAAACAGGAGGGTCTGCACAACAGCAGGCAACTAGCATTTGCAGAATGTGACGTCTGCAATGGCAGCCTCCATGTTTCCCTCGGGAAAGGATTCCTTTTAACTGGTCAGATTCCAAATAAATGAAACCAAGGATCTGATTGAGTGTTATAGGCCATGTTGATCATTTTTATTGTTTTATTAGACCTTTCTTGGTATGCAACTCTACACATTTGACATCAGTAAAGGAACTGGAAAAGGTTATTTTTGTTTAGTCGGCACGCCTGTTTCACTAGTTACATAACACAAGACTTCCTGATACCACTTTAGTGACTGCCTTTAGATGAAGTCTTGTTTATACAGGTGTCAGGTAGCAAGAGCACATGGAGAAAAAATACAATCGTAAACTGAGAGCACACTTCACAAAATATAAATAACTTTCCAGATTTAGCGTATGTTTTCCTTTTAAGAGACGGTCGGAGCTTCAAGCCAAGAGAACATGTGGCTGTCAAAGTTCAATAGGGTTTCACAAGTGACTGCACCTTTAAGAGCCAGGATGTGGCTTTGCAGTGTGTATAGTGTGTGACTGTGCACAGAACAGCTGAGGCTTTCACAGGCTGCTGGAAGGAGAGACTGTCCAGCTAGAGTCATCGGTGAAGGGCTGTCCTATGAAAATGTCAGCCCTGTTTAGCTAAGGTTGTTCTAATGTGGAATATTTCCTTATGCGGCAAAGGAGAAAAAAAAAGATTGAAAGGCAGCACTGAAGGTAGTGGGCTGGTGTAGAGGGGGGAGAGCAAGCTATGACAGCCAGTGTCAGCATGAGAACGCAGGGACTGCTGATGTCTACAGGAAACAACAAGTAAGTCTTACAGTCACTCTAATTTCTCTTCATGTATTAGGTGCAATTACAGTGTGCTTTCATAATGTCTTGTCACTCAATAACTTTCTGTTAGCGTTGCAGGCAGAGCCATGAATTATATAGCCGCCTTTGCTAGCTTGTGTGCGGCATGTATAAAGATCTACATATTGCCAGCTTCAGTGTGCAGGGCACAGATCTGCCTTCCTTGTTATGTGAGCTCCACCAGTTTCTCTTTCAGCCGTGGAATTTCAGACAGAGCTGGGAACAGGTCTGTCTGCATATTTCCAGCTTGTCTGTGTGCCATGGTGGTCTAAAAGCTCTAAGCAATAGAAAAGATTTGGCTGGAGAGCATGGGTTCAGCAATCAGGTGTATTCTGAATTAAAGGTTGGTTTTGATCTTTGGAGGACAAGCTGTTGCCTTTAAATGAAGTCGTGTTGTGCATATAAGAAAGAAAAAAAGGAGAGAGCATGGCTACTTGGGTAACAACTGTCTGTCTGCATGTTGGTTCTCTGTGGTTATAAGATGACAGTAACAGTATTCTGTAAGCAGTAGTTAACCGAAGCTTGTGACCTGAAACTTTCAAAGTTTATTTTCAATATAGAAACTCCTGTAGTTCCTGATCTTTTTGCTTTTCAATTTCAGATGACATATCCGCTCACTTTTTTTTTTGTACATAACTGTCTGTCCATCCATGCTCTGGTGGTAAACATTGTTTGCAATAGGTATGAATTGAAATTGCAGGGCACAAGGTTGCTTTTCTCATAAAAAAAAAAAAAGTTCACTAAAACCACAACACATTGCTAACAAGATTGCCATTTACTGTGCGTGCAGATGCTGCAGATCACTGAAAGGTTTAGCATTTTTGTGTTTTATCATGAATTTCCTAAAGCTACTGGAAACCTGGTTCACATGTAAAAAGCTCCACGTGTAAAAATGCTCCAAGCAGACTGACATTCTTAACCTGTTGGAATGTATTTTTCACTGTGTTTTTCTCCCTTTTAATGTCATTCAGGTTCAGCCTTCAACTGAATTATGACTTTTTACCTTTATTAGAAGTCTATTTTTAACTGTAGTGAGCAAGATAGATCTTAATGTTTGTGTTCCCTTTATTGCAGGAAAAGAGGAAAGTTCCTCAAATGGTGATGACGAAAGAGATGCTAAATCTGCCTATTTTGTGGAAACACCTTATGGATACCAGATAGACCTGGATTTCCTTAAGTATGTGGAGGACATACAAAAGGGTAACACTTTAAAGAAAATTGCCATTGCAAAGAAGCGCAAGTTGGTCCCTCATTTTCCAGAAGGTAGGACAGAGTCCTGCCAGGGAGCTGGATGGCCCTCTACAGATTCACTTTCATCTTCTAACAGTGATGAACATAAACAATCACCTTTTGTAATTGCCAGGCGACATACAGTTTCTGGCTCTGCTAAATCTTTTCACTCTCAAGAAGCATCTCCAAATTATTTAGCCATCCCTGAGAATAAACCATTGCCGCCTCCTTCCCCACAGCTTCCCAAACACAATTTTCATGTTACCAAAACTCTGATGGAGACCCGTAGGAGACTGGAGCAAGAAAAAGTAATCATGCAGGTAGCTTCATCCATCAGTGATGTTCGTAGGCCAAGGCTGGCAAGTTTTGGAGGTATGGGCTCTACGGGGTCACTCTCATCATTCCCTGGGTCAACTGGACACAGCACAAGTGCTCAACAGCTTCCAAATGGCCACCAAGCCACTAGTGATTACGGTGCCTTCTTTGCTTCCTCTTTAGGAAGTTCTATCCGTCACAGTCCTCTAAGTTCTGGAGTTACTACACCGGTTACTAATGTGAGCCCTATGCATCTCCAGCATATCAGGGAGCAAATGTCTATTGCACTTAAGCGCCTTAAAGAGCTAGAGGAGCAGGTAAAAACTATCCCTATACTTCAGGTAAAAATTTCAGTGTTACAGGAAGAGAAAAGGCAGCTTATGTCTGAAATTAAGAGCCAAAAAGGTAGCAGCCAGAAGGATACTACAGGTTTCCGAAAGAGATCTTACAGTGCGGGTAATGCTGCTGGGTTTGAAACCTCACATACACCAGTTAAATCTGGTGGGGAATTGCATATAGATTCTGATGATGACACAGAAACTCAGGAACAAAATACACAGACACTGAAAGAGTTTAGACAGCTAACTGCTGAAATGCAATCTTTGGAGAAAAAGATCCAAGACAGCAGTTTTGATGCTTATTGTTCTCCTCCACAATCTAAGGAAAAGAAAGCTAAAGAAAAATGTTGCCGTTCTGTTGCTGTTGGGGCAGATGAAAACATGAATGATGTAGTGATGTACTACAGATCTGCAAATCTGAGCAGAGATGCCTCTGTAGGTACTGAAATGGACGTAAGAAGCACTGGGGTTGGGGTAACAGAGGAATTGCTTGGGGTGACTACTGATGCTGAAAGAGAAGTTGAACTTCAACAGCAAACTATTGAAGCACTTAAAGATAAAATTTACCGACTTGAAACAGACTTGAGGGAAACCACCTATGAAATGGAGATGACTAAATTGAAATTGGAGATAAGAGCAGCAGGCTCAAGGCAAAAAGTAGATAAAGCAGTGATGGCACAGCCCTTGACTTGTGACAAGATGGTTGAAGCAGTAGTAGAAATGAGTGACCAAAGCAATGGGGATTACTTGGATGTGGTTGATTCTTGTGTAGGTAACTACATGCAGATGAGCAGCATTGGAATTTCTTGTCGTCCTGCTCTCCAGAGTATTGCTACTGGCCCTGACTTCCCAATGAATCACTGGATTGTAAAAGCTCAAGTAGATATGTATGACAAGAGTGTTGGGTTGGAACTAGGAATGTGTGACAAAAGTGTTGGCATGGACCCAATGATCAGTGATGTGGGACTCTACGTATTAGAAGACATAGGCAAGCAGGGGCATAAAAAGACAACACCTAAAGATGTGAAATCTATTGGATGTGGCGATTGTTCAGTGGATGTTACAGTTAAACCATTGTTGGATTATTTGTCATGTGGAGTCAATACAGAACTTGTAACCAAAGTAGATTCAGCCGTAACAGCTTCTCCTTGGACTGCTAACCAGCAAACTAACACTGAACTGGAGCTAGCAAGCCAGTCCACCAACACACATGTGCCAAGTCTTGTAGATACAAGCACAAATACAGCCATCAGCATGAACAGTAAACAAACAAACACAGAAACTGTGGAAATGCGTTCCGTGGCCATAGGAGATGGTAAAGTCAAGGAAGTCAATGCTATACCAAAAACACGTTCAATTGGAGTATGCACTTCTGAATCTGAAAATGTATCTTCAGTCCGTAAGACCAAAGATTTTGGAATTGGGCAAATAAATGTGTTGGATAATTTCCTGATAGGTGTTAAGGTACGAAGCATAGCCTGTGGTCCTAGTGAAGCCATTCCCCTTTCGACTGACCCAAGAAATATAGCAGTTGGAGATGAACCCCATGAGCAACAAAATATTACTTCAGTAACCAGTGCATCAGAGACTGAATCTCCTGCCATAGACCATTACATTGAACGTGTGCAGAAGTTGCTACAGGAACAGCAAATGCTTCTTGCTGAGAATTACACTGAACTGGCTGAAACCTTTGGAGAGCCGTATTCACAGATAGGCTCCCTTAATTCCCAACTGATCAACACCATCTCATCCATTAACTCTGTAATGAAGTATGGCAGCAATGAAGAACTTCAGACCTCAGGAATGCAGAAAAAATCAATGGAGATGGACTCCTTTTCAGGTAAGGTCTCTAAATGATTTTCAGTTCATGGCATAACACAAAGTCAAGTCATGTGGCAATGGTGCAAGTAGTGTCCATTGAATTTTCTTCTACAGTACAACTATGGTACATAAATTGTAACTGTGTGTGTGTCACGAACCCTGTGTCTGGGAAAACACTTGTAGTTACCCCTTTATGGAAAAGACTTGTGAAAGAACCAATAATGGAATTCCTACTAGCTTGCTTCAAACAGGAAGAACTGGGATGTAGTCACTGATTTGGACATGGCTTGTTCTTTGTGCCGTTACATTCATAAAGAAACCTTGCCATGTCTATAATCGGACAAAGTTTCCCTCATAATGTGGAAATACTTTATGTATTCAATAAGAAGCTTTGTTGCATATTGTGCTTGTTAAGCATGTTTCATTTGAATTCTGAGATACAAGGTTGAGTTTACCTCTGGCATTTTATCCTTCAGATATTTTGGACAACAAAAATTGGCTGGATTACAGTTGTCTAATAGCACTAGGCGATTAACAGATTAGTGCACAATACATGTGGGAAGTAAAGCTTAGGAAGGCATTATTCCAAACAAACTTACGCCGTGACTTCTAATAACTACTGGTTCTGCCTTGCGCATAACACATAATTTATGCAGTTTGGTAATGGTTAGATTTATTTCCTCTATTTTGCGTAGATTAATGGCAGAGAAGGAAGTACGCACATGGCTGCATTCAATGCAGTGCAAACACAAAGTCTAGGATGCAAAGTGCAGTAACATGTTATGGAGCTTAACATTACTGGAGTCAATTAAATTAAAAATGCCAGTTGCCTAGTTGTCTTGATTAACCATTAGCTTTACTGACTTCCAACAACTGAGAGGTTCTACTGATTCACATTATTTAAGCATGAGGCAGTCAAGCAGCTAGCATTTTCAGAAGGACAGCAGTGGCAGCTGCCATATTTATCTCATGACATGTTTCCTTTAATGAAGCCCTTTGTTATTACACAACACTTTTTCCAAGGTTAACTCCCTCCTTTAAAAGCTGCACCACTTTTATCCTAGACATGTATAACGCATAATTCAGAATTCCAAGACCAATGTGTATCCACTTCGAATGGGATAGAATAATCTTTTTCAAAAGTTTGAGAAAAAGGGGGTTTCCTTGAAACATCAGTGGTGACATCAGTGTCATCTTTTCTGTATTATCTTATGCATTACATCCAGGATAATTTACTGACCAGTGTGGGAGCTTTTATCTAACTAAAGTTTAAATGGCTGCTAGAGCACTTATTGGGATAAGCGTATGTTTATTTCCCCCCTAAAGGTGAACATATCTGCTAGATTATTATTATTATTATACAGGATTTATATAGCGCCAACAGTTTGCGCAGCGCTTTACAATATAAGGAAGACGTTACAATTACAATACAATTCAAGACAAGATGGTAAGGAGGGCCCTGCCCGTGAGGGCTTACAATCTAAAAGGGAGGGGCCAGTGATACATGAGGATGTAGCTGTGTGGGGATGAATTGTTTGAGAATGTGATAGTGTGACTTTGCTGTAGAATAAATAAGTTCAAGAAGTAAAAATAAAATGCCAGCTATTCTTATATTTAGACATTTCCAGGCTCTTAATAGTGGAATTGGCATTTTTTAACATCTCATTTGTGCTAAAAGAAGAACCTGGTGAATCTAAACTGGCTATTAGCATGATTGTCCTGCAGTGACTTGAACTTGACTCGAACACTGTCTATTTAGACCAGGAACTGAGTCTCCTTGCAGATGAAAGAGCTAAAATTACAACAAAGCTGCCATTCATTAAGAAGGCCGAATCAGGAAACTGGCCCAAGTTGTAAAAAGAGTGTTAAGTAGATGTGTTAATGTATCAGACGCACACATTCCTTGTTCCTTTTGTGGTTTTTCATTTAGTTACCTGTGTGTGTTTTTACTTTCCTTTTCTGTCCTATGCAGGGCTTGTTTTCCCACAGTGTTCTTTGAATTAATATGTTCACAAATGTTAATTTTGTATTCTTTATTCTTCAACCCTCAGTCTATTCGGCAGACTCCCAGCAGCTCTGTATCTGATCATGCAAATTTCTTCCTGCTTCTGCTTTAGAACAAAGCCAAAGAGGGCCAAAACAGTGTGGGTGGCTGTATTTGCCATTAGTAGATGCTAGGTATATGCCAGTGGTGGCCATCCAGTGGATTTTCATTTTACTTACATACACTGAGTGGCCAGATTATTATGACCACCTGACGTTTGTAGGCAAATTATCTATAAATAGCTATAATTTCGCTCTGAAGTTGCTAGAGGGCCTGACCATTATAAATAGGGAAGCAGGTTGTTTACCACGACAGTAGAAGTGATTGATTTTTTTCTGAAGAAACGGGTAAACAACGCGATTTAACAGCCTTTGAATGTGGGATGATTGTTGGCGCTCGGAGCCATGGAGCGAGTATCGGCAAAACAGCAGAATTCTTTAAATGTTCAAGAGCAGCTGTTGTTAAAGTGTTTAAAGACTGGACTGTCAGCCGAAAATCTGGGTCTGAATTGTGGCCGTCAGCGACTAGTCAATGTTAGGGCAGAACGGAGACTGGCAAGACTGGTACAAGACAACAGAAGGGCAACAGTGCAGTGTCAGATTCCTTGCATCACCTTTCAACATCTCGTGGAGTCACGAGGCGGCCCAATGAAGTACTGATGGGGTAGTCATAATAATCTGGCCACTCAGTGTATATTCACACAGGCTTGCCCAGTCTGTGATGACCCATACAGTATATGTATCACAATTGTCTCTGAATTATATAGACAGGTCTCTATTTAAAATTCAGGTGAACTAAAAATATGTACATTTTTTTCTGATTGTGATTATACCAATTGTCCTGATTGGTGAATTGCAAATGTTGCAGATTCTCCCATTTATGAATCACTGACACCTAATCCTGTGTAACTCATCAAAATGATGCGTATGTGGAATACTTATCCAGATTACAGATAATTAAATGTAATAAGGGAAATAAGTATGTGATGCCTTTACAACATGAGGGTTAAGATTAGGAAAGGTTTCATAATTTACACATCACATACAACAAGAAAGCACTTTTGTGTGGCAATGCAACAGTTACCTTGCTTGACATGTGATCAGCCTTTATTTGCCAAACAAAGTAGGTTACGCATGACTTAAAAATACAGCTGAGAGCAAACATTCTAGGGAGCTTCATAAAATAGGCATTGCAGATGACATAAAAGCTACCTTCTCTAGACTAACCTAACAAAGCCTGTTGTGGTAATCTTGTTTTTTTCCTAAAAATTGGTAATATTCTGTGTGGGAAATAATGGGAATTTTGTATTCAGTACTGTGTAAGCCCTGATATTAGTCGATTAATTAATAGTTATTGAGGCTCACATGGATGTAGGGTCCATAGAAGGGCAGATCTAATAGTTACATAGTATTTGAGGTTGAATAAAGACACAAGTCCATCAAGTCCAACCTATTTTCATCTCATTCTTAGGAGTACTTGTACCCCTGTATGTTACGGTCTCTCAGGAAATCGTCCAAAAGTTTCTTAAACAATTCCACACTTTTAGCTGCAATCACTGCACTGCCGGCGGCAGTGAGTTCCAGACCCTAACCGCTCTTACTGTGAAGAACCCCCTTTGCCCCTTGTGCTGGAATTTTTTCCCCACTAATTTTAGGTGGTGGCCTCTAGTTTTTGTAATGGGGTTAATCTAAAAGAGTTTGTTGCTGATGTTGTTGTCACCATTGAACATTTTAGTTGATGACAAAAACTTCCTATCCTTGATGCAGTTTCAAAGCACTATAAAATAATTGTTCAAATTTCAAGCATCCTTGTTACCATATGCGGCTAATTTTAAGTTTTCTGGTAATAATTTTTCCCTTTAAACTAACAGCAGCTATTCCAAGAAGCTCCATTTCATCACTGTAGTGTACTGGTCTCAACCATTGATCTGTTGACCTCTTCCAGATCTTTAGCGTCCATTAGATTATCCATTACCCCACTGGCCCTCTGGAGCAACATAATGAAGAAAAGCGATGTGTATTCTCCAAGTTGAGCTCACACAATGCTACAGACTCTGTCAGTGCTGCAAAGGGAGGAAGTCCCCTGCTCCCTATTCTCAGACGTGCTGGATATTTCATATTGCTTCAACAGACAAGTGAATAGAAAGCAAGTATAAAGAGGGAACAGGTTGTGGGCATAAAGTGAACCTGTAACCTTGCCCTGCATGGTCAAAGCACAGATTTGCTTTAAAGACTTTCTGCCCCCAAAAAGGATATTTACATTTTGGGTGCTTGTGAAATAAATAGCACACTGCCTATATGTCTTGGAGAAAAACTGTTTCAGGGTTATCTTGCAAGCTGTTTTTGTCTCCTTTTTATTTTTAAACTAGGCCTTAAGGATCTTCTCCAACATCTAGATCACCATATTATTTGTTTTTTCCACATTATGGAAAATCCATCAGGGAGCAGAATACTACAATTTGGCTTCTGATAGCCACAGTTGTTGGGCAGAAATGTAAATTCTGATGAACCAACGATGGTTTGTTACTAAAGTCCCAGAGAGAAGCCAGGGTAAGGCTCAGAATTCCAGAAGCCTGCACAAAACTAATAGTAAGAGCTTGGGACAAAGTTTTCCCTTAGAAACAGGTTTAACTTGCTCTTGAAAACATGAAAAAGCTCAAGATCCACCTGGACTGGGTGAACTGTATCCCCAACGAAGGATCATGCTGTCTCACTGTCTTATGATCAAAGCTTATTTAATAAGTGGTTCTTTAATATGTACAGTACGTTTGTACCTTTTTTTAAGGGCTCATCCTCAGTCCTACATCAGCCTGCTTTTATGGTCTGTCATGATGGTTAAAGAACAAAGTGACTTGAATTTAATGCATATCTGTCACTAATGGGTGTGCACTTTTTCTCTTGTGTTTTAATTGGTGTCTTTGTTTTCTGCTTACATTTAAGCATGCAGAACCTAGTAGGCCATTGGTTTGTCAACAT